CTGAGAGGTGATCTTGTGGCCGCCAACAAATTCATTAGTGGGGCACATCAAGGAACCAGAGATGCTCTGTTCACCGGGGCGCTTCTTGGAGTAACAAGGAGCAATGGTCACAAACTGACAGAGAACAGATTTAGGCTGGATATCAGGAAGAAATTCTTCACAGTAAGGGTTGCCAGAATCTGGAATGGGCTTCCAAGGGAGGTGGTGCTCTCCCCTACCCTGGGGGTCTTTGAGAGAAGGCTTGATAGGCATCTAGCTGGGGTCATCTGACCCCAGCACTCTTTCCTGCCCAGGGCAGGGGTTGGACTGAATGATCTGTTGACCGACCCAAACATCTATGAATCTATGAGTTCCTTCATGTTTCAAATTGTGACCAAGTGTTCCACCTGGCCTTCAGGATGAATTGAACTGTAAGTGGGGGAATGAGGAGAGTGCTGTTGTGTTGGGTTTGGAGGAGTAAGGAAAATGTCTGTCACAAGAAACAAATACAGCAATTAAGTGAAGTAAAGCATCCAGTCATGCCATTCTTCCACTGCCTTGCCAAATAAGCACAGAGATAGGAGCCTATCTATCAGACTTTTTATGTAGAGTTTACTGGGAAAAGATACCAGAAAATAAGCAAGCATGGAGTTAGCAATTTTAGTTTTCTTAAAGGAATACTTCAGATTTTAAAATGAACTCCCAGCATTCATTTATTCCTAATAGTACTGAAAAAGAAGGCAGGCTCATAGAACATCATTCTTATTTCAGAATGGCTGCATGGATTGGCACTACTTAAATGTGAAACAAAACAAAAACCGCACTGTGTCTATTTAATAACAGTGTGAATAATCTCTCAGAGCCTGAAGGTAAAGGAGTGCCATTATAAGGCTGGTTGTGCAATCAAAATTATTGCAGGAATGCATGTGAATTACCCAAGGCAATAAGGAAAGGCCAACTCACTTTCTTGTTTAAGCTTGAATGACAAAATGAATTGAATTGAATTAGAAACTTATACTTTAACTTGGGACTTAGGATCTTGAGCCAAACAGTTTGGAAAGGTGCAAGAGTCCCACACCTACGGAGGAGTGGAATAGAACCAGCCGGGCATGTTGAGATCTCGCAGACTCCCCATGCGGCACCTGAGTGAAGGGCTGGAAGGCGGCTTGGCTTGGAAGGCCAAGCCAGAAGAAGGAAAGTTTGGGAAGAAGCTTATATTTATATAGATTTATAACTGAGAAGTAAACAGGAATGCAGAACTGCAAGAAGGCCCCTGTGCCACTGAGTTCATTCCCCTCCATTTGTACTAGTAGACTGAAGAGTATATTAAATACTTCTACACTTACAAGATTTCTGTTTGAAGAGGGAGAACGAGCTTTTCTGTCATTTGAATGTAGTCATTTGAATGTATGATGGCAATCCATAGTTGCTTTAACTTTTATTTAATGTTCCTGCTTGGGACTGGCATGGGAGGACACTGACAAATGTTCTGAGTATATCTGATGTGAGCCTTACTGGGTAGCACATAAACAGCTATGGCTCACGTACTGCATTGACTTCATAAGAAAATGTAAAGCACTCAGTTATTTTGATTAACCCCATCATTGTCTGCAATGTGATTATTTTATTTATTTATTTTAATTTTTTGCCTCTAAGGGATACAAGGCCTCCTCATGTATGGCCATATTTGAGGTCATATTAGTGCCTGTGTTGGCTTGTGGAGAGAGAGAAGACTTATTGCTCTTTGCCAAGTTAGCTGCCATTTACGGCCAAGGCACAGGACTGAGCAGTTCTACCTGCCGTAAGCTGAGGGCATGTTTCTGTCAAGGTTTTCTTTTAAAAGCAATGCATAGAGTTAGATGAGCATGGGCTGGACTGTTTTACACCAGAAAATGGTGTATGCATTGTGCTAGCATAGTAGCATTGTTGCTGGAAATTTCTTCCTTTTCTTACAAAAGGAAGAAATTTCCAGGGCACATGCCCTGGCCATGTTTCTGTCAAGGTTTTCTTTTAAAAGCAATGCATAGAGTTAGATGAGCATGGGCTGGACTGTTTTACACCAGAAAATGGTGTATGCATTGTGCTAGCATAGTAGCATTGTTGTGCAGAAATAAGAGGGTAAGTGTGATGTCTGCTCTCCCCCTTCCTGTCTGATCTTCGCCCCACCACAGGTATACCTTTGGTATAGAAGATCCATCATCTCTAAGGACAGAGCTAAGCATTTTCTTGTGAAATTCAGAATTAAGCACTTAATGTGGCTGGTATTTTTTATAGCAAGTGACATTTTCATTTCAACCTTTTGAAATTTAGTAGAAGCAAATGAATTATACAAATGAAAAATAAATGTCATCATCTTATCCTAGGTAGAAATCATTAGCTTCCGTGGGCAAGAGGCTATATTTCGTTGTTTCATTTACAAGGTACTTGGAATCGGATATGATTTTTTTTTTATGTTTACATGTCTGCTCAAGTTGGCTAAACTAGGTTGGAGAACTGTAGTTGTTAAAATTGTCAGAACATGGAAAATATGCATGGTGTTTTAAACCAATGCTTTCTGAGAGAAACATGGAACAAGTCTGTAGCGATTACCCTTGATTACTATTAAAACAATTAATATTTACGATTTTAAGAGCAGCAGCATCATTTACCCCATGAGCTCTCCATGAAAGCAGGGGTTCTGGTCAGACCCCACGCCAAGAACTCATGTGCAACATGACCAGCCATGCTGCCATACCCTCTCTGGATCAGTGTCTTCTAGGGTGTGTTTATATCTGTGCAAACACATGCAACTAAAGTGAAGTAAAACGAGCATTGAATTTTGCAGAATCAAGTTTCAGTTAATTGGCTGGGTCAGGGAGAGACTGACTGCGCCCCACAATATGATGGAATTGAGGGTTATAGCACTCATCCCTGCTCTGGTGAATATTTAGGATCTATGGACTCACCTGGGACTTGAAATTCAGCCTTCCACACCCCAGTGCTGTTGACTCCTGGAGTGAACATGTGCACACACAGGTTTTTTGACTTTGATAGGTCTTGTTCCATGAAACAGGAAGTTTAGTGGGATAAGAAAAGTTTCTCACCCAACTAGATGTGAAAAAGGGGGGAGGGCGGGTTGTTTCTTTGATTTTGTTTTAATGTCTCTCAGGGCCACTTCATCCTTTGCATTTGATGTTGCTGAAATCTATGTTTATACGTTGAAGTTTGTATGTTTCTCTTTCTCCTCTTTTTTACTTTAAATAAGGACTGGAGACTGACTCGAACACTGCTTATAAGCAACAGAGACAGGGAGGTTAAAATGTAGCATGGTGCATGGACACAAATAAGTGGTTTAAATGAAGTTTAAAACTGAAGTGGACAGACATTTAAGTCTGTTTTTAAACTCTTTTAAAAGTGCCTGGAATATCCCCTACAATATGGAACTAGTGGTGGTGGTATCCATAACTCTACTGCTCCCTTCTTCCCCTTTTGTTGGCACTGCCAGTGAGCTCCCTTGCACTTTCTTTTTCAATAAATGCCATGTTTCTAACAACCATCTGTGTCCTCATTCCCTACCTCTCTGCAGTCCCTTATCATGTCCCCCAGCCCTTGGGAGGCAAAAAACATGGATCCAAGCATCTCCCTGCCCCAGGTCACGTGAGCACATGGCTGACTTCGGTCATAAGCTGGCTATTGAAGTTTATTGAACACATGTTTAGAAGAGAACGGAAAGCATGCAAGTGAAAAAAACTCCCACCCACAGGTCACTCACCCCCTGTGAGGCATGCTGGGCTAGGTATTTACTCCCAATCCTGTGGTGTTAGAGCTTCAGCACTTCAAACAACTGTGTACTAGTTCCCATCAGTAACGTTTGGGAATGGTTCAGTTATGTCTGGCTGCACCATTTTATGTTAGGCTTGGAGATGTTCTTATTGGTTTTCATAGCTTTTTATGGAGGAAGAGTACCTTGGATGCAGAAGGTATGCAGTGCCTAAATAGCAGCATACTATATTGTTAGGTTTGACAAAGACAAAAAAATAAGTCTTAATTTAACTTTGGGTTTAACCTATGAACTTTCCAGGCACATAAAAAAAAATACCCTCCCCTCCCACCCCCCCAAACCTCCCATGCTCTTCCACTTTAAAAAGTGACTAAGGACTATGTGATGGTGGTAGTAAGGGTATTTTTTCTCATATGTTATTCAGTGATTCCAGATTTAGTTTGCTGAGTTATTTAGGAAAATATGTTACCTAACTTCCAACTTTGCAGACTCAACCTTGCATCTGTAAGGCTCTTTACTGGGTCTTTTGTTAAAGGGTTTGTTAATGTATAAACTAGAACAGAATCCAGTTCCCTCTAGGGCTGAAAAATGGTACAAATTACTTCAGTGACTAAAATTGGCAGAAGGGACTCTGACAGTACTCAATATCTTTTGAGTAATCATTCTATAAAGCCACTTTCTTGACCTTAGAGTCTTAATAGTCAGCACAGTACTTTTAAAGTATTTCACCTTTCAGGTGGTTGCATTATAGATTTTTATAACACCAAAAAACAAATCTAGTTTAACGTCATTAATAAAACAGGCTGTATTGTTATACAAACAATTGTCATTGCTTGAAAAGTGGTCCCCCAGCCTTGTCTCCCTTGTTATTGATTTGTGTACCTTTCACCATTCAGACTGTGTAAATGTATTTCACTTCTTGCTCCTGTTTGTCTGCATATTCTTATATAGGACTTGCCTGCAAACAATTTTGTTCTTTCAGTTAAGAATCTTGCCAGAAATAATTCTATATTCTCCTTCTGAATGACAACTGGCTGAGGCAGATGAGGTGTGGGAATTCTGGCAAAGTGACTACATTGTCCTGCTATTTTGGACTAAAGAGAGGGACTGTTTGTAGGTCCTCGCTAAAAAAAAATGGCACGCATCAAAATATAGGGTTCCATCATTTACCTACTGACTTCCTTTAAGAAAAGTTATTGGTATTTTTTCAAATCACTTTGCTGGAAATGTAGCATTTAAAACAATTTATTTTGTTTTTCAGGTATACTAAGCCACTAACCTTTGCTGACTGTATTAGTGATGAGCTGCCATTAGGATGGGAAGAAGCTTATGATCCTCAAGTTGGAGTTTATTACATAGACCATAACACCAGTAAGTGATATCTTCTGTTTACTTGCTTGATTGAGTTGTTCTGTGCACATTACTATAGAGTGTTGGGTATAACAGACCCAGTAGCTAAACAGCATCACTGATAAGCCATTCTCTGCCCCTTGACTCTATTGCAAGTCACCTCTGAAACAGACCAAATTCTCTGTGGGAGATGCTTGCATCCTATAAAAAAGACATGGTGAATCTCCCTCTGTTTCCTAGGAAAGGGCAGCCACTTTCAAGCTGGAAAAGACTATGCTCCTAAAGGTTCAGGGTTTCTGCCAAACGTGGGTTTGAATCCTGGTGACTGGAGATCAGACACTGGTGAATTCTGCCCATGTGCAGAGAGCACCAGGGTGGAGCACTTAAATGGAGTAGATGGTCTGTGCCTGGGACTTAATGTAATGCATGGTTTCGAAATGATTCTAGAAATTCCCTAAGTGTGTGGCAAAGGAGTTTGCTTTATACAGCCTTTTATCTGTCCTGGAGGCACAAAACCTCCGGGGTTGGTTTGGTGTATAATAAATGGTACGCATTTTTAAGAGAAGTGATACTAGTAAGCTTTCAGGTATTCTGCTTTTCTGTTTTGGGACACTTACAGATGAATCCTATTGCACCTCTGCACAGAAGTGGCACACTTATAGCCATGCAAGTGTAATTTTTGCTACTTATGCAGAGGGTGGACCCTATTTGGACTTGCATAGCTGTTTCCTCTCTGCTTCCCTTTTTACCAGTCACAGAAAATACCATGACTAGCAGTTGTTTAATGGAGAAGGAAGAAGGGGGTCTAACATTCTGGCCCCGTCTCTCTTTTGTGCTTTTCATTCATTGGATGAAATGGATCAACAGCATTGAGATGGCCCTGCCTCAGCAGAACAGAAACAAAGGCTAAAGCAAAGGGCAACATCTGCCTCACTGAACCATCCCCTACTCTGGCTTGTCTCTTTCTTGTGGCTCCACATACCCTCTCTTCTTGGCTGCTCAGTGGGCTAGCTTTAAGAAGCAGCCATTGGGGGGCTTCAGGAAATGCCTTATCTGTGGCCTCATGACTACAGCATTTCACTGGGAATTGGGAGGTAGAGACCTAGGTCTCTTGCTCCCTGGGCAAGTGGGGCTGGGGGCAGGCACTGCTTGGGTGGGGTGGGGCACGGGACGGAGTCATGAGTAGCTTGTCTGGGGGAGCGGCTCCCGCTGCTGCGTGCACTGTGGGAGGGCACAGGGTGAATGTGACCCCGGAGCTGTGTGCAGGGTGGGGTGGGCTACTGCTGCGGGCTGGGTTGGACTGTTCTGCACTCCGGGGTGGGCAGCAGCAGTGCTGGGAGTGGGGTTAAGTGGGGGCTACAGCGAATTTTGGGGTGGCTGCAGCCCTTCTGCCAGCACTGCCACTGCCTACTCCAAGTGCAGCTTGGCCCAGCCCCACACTGGGAAGAGCCCAGCACAGTCCCAGCCCACAGCAGCAGCCCACCCCACTCTGCGTGCAGATCCAGAGGCACATGCCCCCCCCATGCCCTCCCAGGGTGCATGCAGGGTGGGAGCTGCCTCCCTACCCCTGCACCCGCCGGACGAGCTGCTTATGGCTCCATCTTGCGCCCCTCCCCACCCTGGCTGAGTAGTGCCTGGCCCAGCCCGATCCCCACTCCCTCCCTCACTGTGGGGGCCTCAATCTGCGCCCCCATGCCCCTTCCCTTCACCCACACCAGACTTACCAGCCTGACACTGGTCTCCACACTGCCCAGCTGCATATCGGAATCGGATCGGCTGATATGGCTCCTTAAAAATCAACCATCAGTATCGGCCCAAATAATCTCTATTGGTGCACCCCTAGTTATGAGGGTTATTCTCCTCCTCTGTACTTCTTCCAGCAGATATGTGCATACATGACTAACTGTATTCCCACACAGGGTAGAAGTGCAAAAAAGGGTGGAACTGCAGAAATGCTACTTAAAAATGTTAAGGTGAAATAGGATTTGGCCTTAAGCTGGTACATGTCCACTTTGCCTTGGGCCCCTGGCACAGTATTATGCATTACCAAGAACTTTGAAATCCATCCAAAAGTACAGTAGCTTTGCAGAAGTTGCTGTGCGTGTTTGTGTAGAGCTATGCTTGATTCATTGTCCTGGAAGGTACAGCTCTTACAAAATAAAAGGATGCTTCATTTGCTAGAAGACAGCTTCTTTATTTAGAGCATGGTAATAAGTTATAAGGACAAGTCATTTTCCAGTCTTCTAATTGTCTTTTGTATTATAGGATGTAACTAGGCTTGATCTTAGCAGGGTGCTGTTGTTTTATTATGCATACATGTTCTGAGCAGCACCATTACAATGGAAATGGTGACAGATTATTATTTGCAGCTCTGTATCCTGCTGCTGATGTGATATGGGATTTCAGTGCATTTGTTTAAAAAATGATGAGGCTTGTATGACAGCAGCTCCTAAAGACCTCAGTCAAGATAGCTGTTTAAAAATGTAGTTCTCAGTTTTGATGTTGGGTACACCAGTGTACATCTCTGAAATGGAACTATTCTTTGTCCTCAAGTGATCTTACAAGATAAAAGGTGCTGTATGGCCAAGTGCCTGGCATCGGAAAGACAGTTGAAGGAAATTAGAGTTAAGAACTTCTGTAGCAAATTTGCAGAGCACCCAATATATGCTGATTAATCCACTCTGACCCTGCCCTGAATGAAAGCTAAATTAGATGGGACTGCTACCCTGATTTCGCTTTCACTTTGGGGTAAGAGTCAACAGACAGGCTTACTGTATATTGGCTTCTCTGTAGCATGTCCACACCCCCTTGCTCTAAGTAGCTGCAGCTTGATCAATTAACCATATCCTACCTTCACCCTGATAATGAGGTAGTGCAGGAGAGGCTGCTGCAAAACCCCCTCTAGGAAATCACTAGTGACTTGGTAGACTGCATTTAGAGAAGACTAGTCCAGGCACCGTCCAAAAATTCACAGCAAAATCAGGCTTGGTTCCTTTCATATTTAAGTCTTTACGAATAGCATAAAAAGATTACTTTAAAAGAGAGGGGAACCACCAGGTTGCAGAAGTCAAAATGAAACAGTGCTGTTTCACACAGCCCTACTAAGTGGCCCTCCAGCCCAAATAATTGCCCACTCCTGGCCTATGAGGTTAAAGAAGAAAACAGTGGGCAGCCTAATGACTCGTCAGTTAAGCAATTAGCTTCCCCTTCACAGGTGCTCCTTCCCTCCCAGCATTGGGCTTCACCCCTCCCCTCACCCTCAAGGGCCCAGGGAACATCTCCCAGCAACAGCTATATCTGAGTTGCTGTGTTATTGGTTAACCATTTAACCAGTATAATTAGAGGAGGTTAAACAGTTAATTTTTAAAGCAATTTTTACATCCCTAATTAAAACTCAAGCAAATATAGCTATTTTTTATTTCTATCAAATACTTTAGCTACACCAAAACCACTCAGTGCAAGGATCAAGGGCATGTCCCCTCTTCTGAAAGCAATCATATATGGTGCCACCATCACATTATCTGAATGCCCCACAAGGAATGAGCTCATGCCAGTGACATTTCTGTGAATCTAGGGATTGCTACTTAACAGTTGAGGACATTGAGTTGCTTGGAGGCCGGAGCCTTGCCCAAGATCCTACAGGAAGAATGGCAGAGCAGAACTCTGAGTTGGGCCTGAGTGGCAAGACTGTTTGGAGCTATGGAAGAGCAGAAGAGATGCCATATTGATTGAGACTACAGAGCCATCTAGTCCAGAGGTTTTCAACCTTCTTTAAGGAGTGTACCCCCTTCCAAATGAGGGAGAGATGGCAGTGCTGACAGCTGGCCAGATGCGAAACTGGCGGCATGGGGAGGTGGCGGCACGGAGTGGTGAATGGTGGTGGCAGGGGATGGGGAAATGGTGTGTGCTGGCAGTGATGTGGAGTGGTGAATGGCGGTGGCAGGGAGCTCGCATGCAGCCGTTCACCACTCCATGCTGCCACCACATGCCACTTCCCCATGCTGCCATGCAAAGCCCCTGGGGCCGTCCCAAGGAAACCCAGGGGTACGCGTACCCCTGGTTGACAACCCCTGATCTAGCCCAATATTGTCTGTCACAGTGGCTCAGGGCAGATGCTAAGGGGAAGACTACTTATGCAGGCCCTGTACAGACAGATTGTTCCTTTACCCTTCTTCCTTTACAGCTTCCAAGACGTACAGGCTTAGGAAGTCCTAATTTGTAGCTTGCACCTGTAGCTATAATTTTAATACCCACTGATAGACCTGTCCTGCATTAATTTGTCTAATCCTCTTTTGAACCTGATTATTTAATCAGCTCCGATAGCACCTTGTGGCAACAAGTTTCATAAGTTAATTATACCTGGTGTGAGTGAACTTTTTTTTTTGCAATTTTTACACTTAATTTTTTTAATGCCAGTCTGGTACTGTGAAAGTTAGTAAACCTCTTTTCCTTGTTCACATCATTCATAATTTTATAGACAGCTATTCAGTCATCTTTTCTCTAAGCTGAAAAAGTCCAATTTAGTCTCTCCTTGTTCAGATGTCCCTGATCATCCTCTGGGCCCTTCTGTGTACCTTTTTCTAGTCTTATTATATGCTTTTGGAACTGGAGGAGACCAGAACTGCAGGCATGATGTGAGACAAGGGTGTCATATATCCAGCCCATGGACCACATCTGGTCTGTGGAGTCCTACAATATGGCCTGTGGGTCTTGAACTAACCCTGCAGCCCATGGGATGCGGATAACCTGGAGAGGGTCCAGAGAAGGGCCACTCGTATGGTTAAGGGCTTGCAGACCAAGCCCTACGAGGAGAGACTAGAGAACCTGGACCTTTTCAGCCTCCGCAAGAGAAGGTTGAGAGGCGACCTTGTGGCTGCCTATAAGTTCATCACAGGGTCACAGAAGGGAATTGGTGAGGATTTATTCACCAAGGCGCCCCCAGGGGTTACAAGAAATAATGGCCACAAGCTAGCAGAGAGCAGATTTAGATTGGACATTAGGAAGAACTTCTTCACAGTTAG